TCCCTGGATTGCTCGCCCCCAAAGCCAGGGTCGCCACAACGAGGATGCCAGTGACTCGTACATGCAAAGTCATCGCACACCGGCGAGCGACGGCGGGTGAAAGGAACTCCACAAGTGCGAGCGCGAGTGCCCACGACTAAAGAGGCGGACGCGCAAAGTCAAGCGAAAGAAACGTGCAGGTGCCCTACGCCCTACTCGCCCCCCCCAAAAAAAAACCCCCGGAGGAGAAAGGGAGGCCGTACAACAACGGTGAGTAGCCGTGCGGCGACGGGATGACGACCCTCCGCACCGGGAACGGGAATATCGCGACGCAGCCCACCGTGCAATGCCTCCCAGCCACCAGATCCACCGGCAAGACACGACACACGCCTCCCGAGCGCCCACATCCGCACACCCACATCCGCAAAAACGCCCTCGCTGTCGCATCACAGCGCGGGGAGACGTGCAAAGCAACGACATAATGGAGCGGGATGTCCATTGTCACTGAGCCCGCCCGCAAGCCTGGGTGGTCGCGCTCGTCCCTAGACCCGCCTCGCCGCGGAAGAGGGGTGCTCCACATACGCATCCTCGCCTCGTCTTGAGTCCGTCTCTCTGCTCCCTCCTCGCGGTTGGGATGGTTACTTCAAATCCCGCGCATCCCCACCCCCACTCGGACACGCACGCCAGCTGTGAGGTGTGATCAACGCGCGCGCCGCCCCCCGCGCCGGCGAGGTTATAACGCCCCGCACCCTGGACGCAGGACCTAGGCGACAGAAGACAGGAGACAGAAGACCATCGCCTGCCTGCACGACGGAAACGACAACACGAACGACGGGGACGGGGACGGGCGCCCGGCGCCGCTCCCACTCCCACTCCCACCATATCAATACTCCATCCCCGTCCACAACCACCGCGCACGGATTCGCGCTCTGCGTTGCTCGCCCGCCCGGGACGAAAGAACGTAAAACGCATCCCGGACGCACAAATCCGAACGCCACTACGCCCAAAGACCAAAGACCCAAGACCAAAACTCTCCACAGACGCCCAGACGCACGCGCGCGCATGGAAAGGAGAAGGGGACGGGACGGGAGGTGGGACCGAGGAAGAAGGCAAGTTGGAAGCGGGGCCTGCCGCCTGCGGGTGCCAAAAGCAAGGAAAGAAAAAGGGGGTGCGCGGAATCGCGATGGCGTCGCACTCCACAAAAAGCCACACGAAAAACGCACGCACACACGAACGAACGACGCCTCCTCCTCCGCCAAAGCCACCCCCCAGTTGCCGCACTTGCGCACGCCCCCCAAAAAAGAACACCAGCACCATAGGAGGAAACGGAAACGAAAACGCAAACAGAAACAGAAACGCGGAAAGCAACTCACCCTCCTCCTCCTCACGGCGGCCGTGACGAGCACGAACAGGATGCCGGCCGCGACGAGCCCGACGATGGTGAAGACTGCGGCGACGGCGCCTTTGTTTTGGAGGAATCTGCGAAGGGGGGTGTTAGTATTCGGAATATTTATTTACTTTGTAGCAGGGAGGGATCAATGGGGGCGAGCGGGGGAGGATGAGAGGGAGCGGGGAGGAAGGGAGGGGCGGATCGGCGGGTGGGATGTGTCTGATCTAATCTGTTCTGAGGGAAGGGGGTGGGGGGCAGGGTTACCCCGCGACACCGCCCGCGGCGCCGTTACTTCACGGACTCGACACCCGCGAGTGGGATGCGTGGGAGGCACGCACGATGCGGCCGCAACCTCGATAATCCACCTCGGCATGCGCCTCCTAGCGTCCTGGCCTATACGCGCAGCTATACCGCCCCGACTGCGTCTAGGTATGGGATGGGATGGGACGATGCACGGAGCGAAGCTCCCACGGGCGATTGGATGCGGATGAACGGGCGATGCAAGGATGCGCAGGTTCCGAGGGTGATAGATAGATAGATAGATGTAGATGAGGAAGATGTGAAGGACGGGATGGGAGATGCGCATGATGGGATGAGGTCGACCAGCGTAAAAACACAAGGAACACAGAGCGCATCCGCCTCCGCGCAAATGCCTTCGTACTCGACGTCGTCCTGCACTCCCAACCCACCAAAAATCGCACGCACACCAGGGGGAAAAATAGAAAAGCAAAGCAAAGCATTGGCACGCACCCCTTGCTCGTCGTCCTAACACCACTCGCGGCACTCCCACTCGGCGCGGCACTCAGCGTCACCTGCGTGGTCTGCGTCTGCGTGACCACGCCCCCCGTCGAGTCCGTCGACTTGTGGATCACTTGGCTCTGTGTGACGCTCGCCGAGGTCGGGCTGGAGGGGGCCGATGTGATGGACGAGGAGGAGGACTGGGAGGAGGAGGTGGACGAGGGCGGGGCGGGGGCGGAGCTCGGGGGCGGAGCGGCTGAGGTGGAGGGCTGGGACGGGGACGAGGAGGAGAGAGGGGGTGGTGGGGGTACGGAGGGGGAGCTCGGGGCGGAGGGGGTGGCCGCGCCGGTGGTGGATCTGGACAGGCATTAGACTTGACTTCCTTTCCTTGGGTTGACTTGAAAGGTACGCACGAACTGAGACTACCTGCACACAAAATCAGCCTCCGCCAGAAGAAAAAGTCGAGCAGAACGCACTCATGTCGAGTTAAATCTTCTTTTTTGTTGAGTTTTTGAGGTGTGGTGGTGTGTTACATGCAGTGGGGTAAGGAGCGTGGGCGAGTGGTGCAGCGGAGACACGAAAGGAGACTCGATAGACGGCCTTGGAGAAGGTCGTCGGATGAGAGAGCCGGTGCCACGATTGGTCAGCGGAGACCGCGTGTGGGGCTGATCCGCATGAAACAAGAGAACGGGTGCCAAGGGAAGGGTGGGAATGCAACCAAACTTCAACGAGAACATGTTCCACGGGAAAGAAGGGAGAAAAAAAAACGGCTAGCTCTTCTACACCAATGCCCTGACCTCGATTCGAACGAGGACCTCCCACTTGTTTACGGCCAGAATCATGTAAGTCGAATGGTGTGCACCATGCACCTCCAGGTCTCATACTAATGCGAATTGAAAGCTTATTAATGAGGCACTTCCATTCAAATGCCTTCAAGCTGAAATGAGAAAGAAAAAATGCAATCAAGGAAGTTAAGCTGAACGACCTGACCTCGGTTCGAACGAGGACCTCCCACTTGTAGACCCGAACTTCTTAAGTGGAATGGGTGTGCACCATGCACCACCAGGTCTCCTACCATATGATTTTGAGCCCATTTTATGAGGCACTTTGAGCCTGTCGACATGTCTCTGAGGTTTCTTTTGTTTATTTCGACTACAGTATCTGGCACATGGTCCCCAATACATGATAGAGCCACCACACACCATGAATGAGTGAGAACCAATCAAATGAGTGCTCCTCTCAGCAGAAGCCAATAAGACAAAAAAGCCACTCTCGTTGTTCTGGGCATGGCCTGACCCCGATTCGAACGAGGACCTCCCACATGAACACTGGTACATTTGAACGAGCCCAAGTAAAGTGGGTGTGCACCATGCACCACCAGGTCTCTTGCCATACAGATCCAACCCCATTTTATCCCCATGTTCTTTCAATTTTTGAACACCTTCATCTTGGTCTTATTTGGGTCTTGTTACAGGTATTTTCTCACCTGTCGAACTCAGACTTGGCTGGGGAAACATTATACAAAGTGAGCTGAAAACAAAAAAAAAGCCTGCCTGAAAAAAGAGCACAAATTGCCAACGATAACCTGACCCCGATTCGAACGGGGACCTCCCACGTGAATCTTTTTGTACCACTAGCCGCTGTAAGTAAAGTGGGTATGCACCATGCACCACCGGGTCTCTTGCCATACAAATTCAACCCCAGTGTCCTTTCAATTTTCGAACACCTCTGTCTTATTTCGGTCTTCTTACAGGTATTTTCCCACCTGTTGAACTCAGACTCGGCTCGGGAAACATTATGCAAAGTGAGCTGAAAACAAAAACAAAAAGCGCGCCTGCCTGAAAAAAGAGCACAAGCTCGAACTATGACCTGACCCCGAATCGAAAGGGGACCTCCCACGTGAATCTTTTTGTACCACTAGCCGCTGTAAGTAAAGTGGGTGTGCACCACGCACCACCAGGTCTCTTGCCCTACTACAGATTCAACCCCTTTTTATCCCTGTTTCTTTCAATTTTCAAACACCTTCATCTTGGTCTTATTTGGGTCTTGTTACAGGTATTTTCTCACCTGTCGAACTCAGACTTGGCTGGGGAAACATTATACAAAGTGAGCTGAAAACAAAAAAAAAGCCTGCCTGAAAAAAGGGCGACTATTTCGGATTATGACCTGGACCCGAATCGAACGAGGACCTCCCACATCAATCTTTTTGTACCACTAGCCGCTGTAAGTAAAGTGGGTGTGCACCATGCACCACCAGGTCTCTTGCCATACAGATCCAACCCCATTTTATCCCCATGTTCTTTCAATTTTTGAACACCTTCATCTTGGTCTTGTTATAGGTATTTTCTCACCTGTTGAACTAGGCTGGGGAAACATTATGCAAAGTGAGTTGAAAACAAAAGCCTGCCTGAAAAAAGAGCGGCAATTGCCAATAATGACCCGAACCCGAATTGAACGGGGACCTCCCACATGAATTTCGTTTCACGATGCTGCAAAGTAAAGCGGATGTGCACCATGCACCTTCAGGTCTCATACTAATAGGAATCAAAAGCTCATTTTATAGGGTACTTCCAATCCAAGCCTCTTGAAGCAAAAACAACCTTCCAAGCCTGGTATTATGACCCGACCCCAAATCGAATGAGGCCCTCCCACGTGGATTTCTTTTCACAACGCTGCAAGGAAAGTGGGTGTGCACCACACACCACCAGGTCTCTTGCCATACAGATTCACCCCCATTTTATCCCCGTGTTCTTTCCATTTTCGAACACCTTCATCTTGGTCTTGTCATAGGTATTTTTCTCACCTGTTGAACTCAGACTTGGCTCAGGAAACATTATGCAAAGTGGGCTGAAAACAAAAGCCTGCCTGAAAAAGAACAGAAAATCACCAACTATGACCTGACCCCGAATCGAACGGGGACCTCCCACATCAATTTTTTGTACCACTATAACCACTGTAAGTAAAGTGGGTGTGCACCATGCACCACCAGGTCTCTTGCCATACAGATCCAACCCCATTTTATCCCCATGTTTTTTCAATTTTTGAACACCTTCATCTTGGTCTTGTTATAGGTATTTTCTCACCTGTTGAACTCAGACTAGGCTGGGGAA